AAAAAAAAAAAAATCACTGTTTTTAACAGTTGAATATAACCGTTTAACATATTACTCAGATATTATTGTAAAACTTTACTTATTTTAACTATTGAAAAATTATTTTTACTTTTAAAATTTTACTAATATCTTCATGAGTGGGAGCTGGAACACGCACAGCTAAACATCTACTACGTATGGCTGGAATCACCTGACCAATAGAATTAGCACACAAAATAATACGACAAGTAGCCATATATTTTTCCATTGTTCGTCGTAAAGCTTGCTGAGCTTCTTTAGTAAGCCTATCCACTTCAGTTAATAAGATTACTGTAACATAAATATAGTTTAAAAAAAAAAGGCAAATTATTAATACAAGTCAACCTGGGATGTGTTACCTTTAAAATGTCGCTGCTTGGTTGAATCTAATTGATGAGTTTGTGCAACAGTTTTTATGAGCTCCATAACTACAATGCGGTCATACATACCAGCATCACTAGCATTAACTTCAATATGATAATTGCTAGCCACAGTCATTATCTCAAATTTCTTATTTGAAGGAGTCTATATACAACAATTAACACATTATTTTTAAATAATTAAATAAATGGATGACTTATAGATATATATTGGTTTTATACCATGAAGTTCATGTGTTCAGTGCGTAACCTTTCAACACCAGGGCCATACAGTTGTCGTAACAATGCTAAAATACGAGTCTTTTTTCCAGCACCATTAGGACCGTAAAAAAGTAGATGTGGAAAGTCACCTTGATTTACCTACAAAATTATTGTTAAAAAATATAAAAAAAGTACAACATAGCTTATAGTAAAACTACTACTTAATCAATGTACTAACAAGGTTTGTTAAATGCTGAGCTTGTTCCTGGTGGTAATCAACCTTTTGTAACGAATTAGGTCGATATTTATCAGCCCACAGACTCATTATAACTAAATAAATAAATTTTAAATTTTAATAATTAGGAAGAACAACAGTTATTAATTAATATATATTTCTTAAAAAATGATAGTACCTAGATTGTAAACTGTGACACTATGACGATTTGATAATGAGTAGGTATTAATTGTCAAAAGACAATTAGAAAATTAAAATAAAGTAACTACAAATAGTGCTACTAAAAATGATATATAGTATTTTGTATTATAACTATATTATATTTATATACCAAACTGAAACTACTAATAACTAATAAGTTTAAACTTTAAATTATAATTATAAACTAAAAAGTAAAAATTATTATCAATTGTTACAGACATTACGGTATTTATTTGGCGGGAACATAGAGTACTCTATGGGCGGAATCATAAATCATATGTGATAAAGCTAAAAAACCAAAGATAATTTAGTGATAATTAAATAAGTGAAAATAAAACATTATTAATAAATATGAATATTATTAAATATTCTTAGGTATTATATTCCATAAAAACCAAAACCTTTTATCAGGGGYGTATTTATTGGGTGGCTGAGGGGGCTTCAGGCTAACCTAACCCCCCAAATCCAGGAATTGTTATGAAGTCTGCTTATTATGTCCTATCAGTTGTAAATTTTCTAACTCTTATAGGCTGAATAGGGAAAATAGGAATTTCATTTGGAGAAGATACCACAGCCCCCCCCCTAAAAAAAATATATATATCTAAATACGCCCCTGCCTTTTATGCATGAAAATTAAAAGTATTTAAGCATAGAGACGTAAAAAACGTCATAAATCATAATCATAAACATACAAAATTACAAATTAASGTTAAAAGTTCAAACCTTCAAACATTTAAAAATTAGTGAATAAGTTAAAAACAATGTTGCCAACCTTCTCTACATCTGTCCCTATAAGACATTTTTAATTCTTACGAGTGAACAATTTGTTTGTTATAGCTTTTAAATTTGTATAGGTTATGTGCTAAAAACGAAAATTCTTTCACTTATGGCTCGGGTTTGAAGTAGATTTTGAGTTTTGGTTGGCGTTTCTTGTTTCTTTTTGTGCGAAGTTGATTCGTAAGTACTAAGTATGATGTCTATTTTGTATGTTTGTGTTTATTCATGTTTGATTGAAGTCTTTCTCCTTTAAAATAAAAAAAGTGTTCGTGTTTGTTGATTTTAAGGTTTTCATTGGATTTCTAGGTTAAAACACCTGATTATGAATTTATTAATTATGATCATTTAACCACAATTCTCAATAATAATTTCTAAATTTTTATATGAACTGAATGTAAACTCGTCTAACTGAGTAGTATCCGATATAGCACTAAAATAATAATTTGATTTAGACATTTAGTACTAATACTTATTTTTCTAGTTAATCATTTATCTAGTAGATAATTAATTTTAGTAGAAAATATATTATTTAGTGAACTGAATTTCTGTTTTCAATACTAATTAGTTAAATATAGTGAATTATAAATTTTGATTTTATATGAAGTACTTCTTAAAAACCATTGTAGTTATGCAATTTTAAGTATTAAAATTATAATAATATTTTTTCTATTTTTATAGGGCAAGATGCAAATTTTTGTTAAAACCCTTACGGGTAAAACAATAACTCTTGAGGTTGAGTCATCAGATTCAATTGAAAATGTAAAATCGAAAATTCAAGATAAAGAAGGTAAACTTAATGTTAACGATTAAACTACTATTTTTTATTTATAAATTATGTACCTATTTACTCTTGGATCACTACTGTTTATTCAACAGCACTCAAAACTGCTTACATGTTTTTTCTTATTGAAAAAAAAAACCATTTTGAACTATATAATATTATTGTTTTTTTTCTCTTTTGACTACTACTTTAGTACTGTATATATTATATCAGCATCATTCCCTGCTGAAATTCTGTCCAAAGTTAATAGTAATGCCAAAAAGTAAATTTAAGGCAATACATTTCATTGAACACTAATTATTTCAAAAATTACTAATGTTTTTGATAATATTTTTTTACATAGTTTCAAGTTGTTCTTAAACCAACGTTTTTATTAAAAAAAATTTATTTTAAAATATTTTTTATCCATATAATTTTTTAAGTTTTTACTTTTTGAATGACATAGAGTTTTATTTTCATATTCCAAAGCAGAATATTTTTCTAAGTATTTTGATTCATAAAAATCAAATTTAGGACGAGTAGTTAATGAGTTATAAATATTTAAAGTTTAGATTGGCAGAGTGGAGTKGTACGGGGTTACCCCGCAAAATGTTTGTCCACTACTCCGCTTGTCTAAACTTTAAATACTCATAACTCATAAACTACTCGTTTTAAATTCAATTTTTATGAATCAAAATACCAAGCAAAATACTTAGAAAAGTATTCTGCTTTGGAATATAAAATTAAAACTAAGTCGTCATTCAAAAAAGTAAAAAACTTAAAAAATTATAAGGATCAAATTTTTTTTGTATATAATTTTTTAGTATAAACGTTGTTTTTTTAACAACTTTAAACTATGTGGAATATTTTCAAAAATATTAATAATTTTTTTTATAATGAGTGTTCAATGATAATAGAATCACTCAGTATGTTATTCATTAAGAATTAGTTAAAATGTATGGGATATAAATCATTTACTTAAAATTTATTTATCGCCTTATTTGATATATGTTCTGATAGATTACCACTAAAATTTCTGTGTGTAACTATTATCTCTTGATTTATATTCTAGCAATTTAATCACTTAAATCATATTGTATTACTCTCACAACATCTATATTGTTTATGTCTATTTAATGTTTCCACATATCTATTGTAATTGGGTTTGCTTGTTTAATGATGATAAATAAACAATAAAAATGTATTAGTATGAAATACAATATTCTAAGGTAGTTTGTTGCCCAGTTCTTTTAAAACTTTGAATTCATTATTTAGGCATTCCCCCGGATCAACAACGTCTTATTTTTGCTGGCAAGCAATTGGAAGATGGTCGCACACTCTCTGACTACAATATACAAAAAGAGTCTACACTTCACTTAGTACTTCGTTTAAGAGGTGGTGCTAAAAAACGTAAGAAGAAAAATTATTCCACACCAAAAAAGATTAAACACAAAAAGAAGAAAGTCAAGTTAGGAATTCTTAAGTTCTATAAGGTAAGAATTATAAAATAATTCAATACTCAGAACTTAATTATAATCATTATTTATAGGTTGATGAAAATGGAAAGGTTCATAGATTAAGGAAAGAATGTGCTGCTGAAAACTGTGGGCCTGGAGTATTCATGGCTGAGATGCCCAACAGATTTTACTGTGGAAAGTGTAGCTCTACCATAACTAAATGAATTGTATTTTAATTTTATGTACAATACAGTTTATTTTCAAAAGTCTTGCATTTTTCTTTTTGACAGTATTTTAACAAACATCCCTTGCCTTGTGTTGAGTGTTTGCTGTCCCAATGTCATATTTAAAAAAATTCAATTATGATTATTAAATTCTAGGTTTTCCTATTTACATAATGAGTACAGTCTTATTGCATACAAATATTAAGTAACATTTCTTTTTTAAATTAAGCAAATAATAACTACAGTATTTGAATAATAAGCATAATATGTGATAAAAGTCAAATAAATCTTAACATACATAAAATGCATTAATAGTATTTAACATAATATATACAATAATATTTGGTTTCTGCTGTTTCTTTATCTATTTTCCTCCTTCATTTAAACAAAATATTAAAATCTAAAAACATACGTAGTAACATATTTATTTTGTTTGACTAGATTACTAGTGTGCAATTTTTATATAATTATATTTAATAGTTCTTGAAGACTATTAAATAGATACCACTCCTGACATTTTAAGTACCTATTTTAACAATTTTTGTTTTACAATTCTCGTGTCATAAGTCCCCACTGTTTCATGAGAATGTTGATTGTCTGGTATAATAATTAAGTCATGATATTATTTGGTTCAAAACATAATGATTGTCTATGAGTAAAATGTTCAGCCGGTTCAATGATCATAAGTGATTTAATAACATTTATTAAATCTGAGAAATTTGGACGATCGCCTGCTGCATAAGCCCAACAAGGCTGCATAAGTTTGTTATATATGTCCAGGGTGCATGGAGGACATGATGGACATTGTAACCGATGACCTTCTTCCAAAACTCTAATTAATTTTTCAACATCTAGTCTTTCTTCCAGTTTAGAGACTACATTTGGTTCTTTACCCAAAGAAAAAATTTCAAAAAGTAACACACCATATGCCCAAATATCAGTTTTAGGAGAAAATTTTCCATATAAAATAGCCTCTGGAGCATGCCTGAAAGTATATACAATTTAGCATTAACATTTTAATTTAACCATTATTTACAAAACTCACCATTTCAAAGGCAAATCTCTCATTGTTTGTAAGTAATAGTATTTTTCATCAGGCAAAAACTGAGCAAGACCGAAATCAGAAATTTTTACTACTGTCTGACTTGATACCAAAATATTTCTAGTAGCTAAATCACGATGTATAATGTTTAGGCTTCCTAAGTATTCCATTCCCTAAAATAAAAATAAATTATACTTTTAACACMTATAAGAATTAACTTATGAACAAAATTACAAAATATATTAAATTAAGTATTTTTGTATTATATTTCACAAAACTTAGTATTGTGTAAGTCTATTGTTAAAATGCATATTATAGTATAGCAAAGATCCAAATGCTAGTATATAATATTATGATGAAAAATAAAAAATTTAAAATTACTTGAGCAATGTCTAAAGAGTATTTTAATAATCTATTGGTTTCTTCAACAAGTTCATCTTCATGTAATCGCAAGTAACTACTTAATGAACCTAGTTCAATATATTCCATTACAAGCATTAAATTTGGTTCTTCTAATACACCTTCAATTTTAACAATATTTGGATGACTGAGTCCCTACAATGAAAATCAAACATGAATACAATACATTTTTAAAACAGTTCAATAAGACTTACTTCTATAATCCCAATTTCTCTTTGAAAATCTTCGGTTTGGAATGATCTTTTCATATGCTTCACAGCAACTTTTTTTTTTTTATTATCATTATATTCTAACAAACCTTCTAATACAACTCCATAAAATCCCTAATGACAATATCAATAATAACAACATTATTAATAATAAGAATTTTTAGTGATGTACAGTGATGGGAAAAAAGTACTCAAATTTTCATTTAAATTTATTTATGATTCCAAATTTTTTAGATAATAATCAACAATATTATTAAAGGTTCCATAAATTAATGTTTACACATTTTGTTCATGTATAATATTARTTTATACTTCTATACAATTTATATAACAGTATCCTACTATTTATTATTCTGTATTCATTATATGAACTRATTTTGAAACAACATTTTAGATAAGTAAGATTATTTAAACAATTCTACTTTTTGAATGAAAAAATAATGTTGAGTAAAGCGAATGTTATTGTTTTCCAATTTAGAACCAACAGCAGAGTAGGGTCTGTTTGCACAATACTTCTCTTATGCTGCCATCATTTACTAAGCAAACGTAATTTAGATAAAAATAGTTAATGTAATGAGTAACGTAATTTTATAACTTCTAAATATTAATTAACACTGCAATTATAGGTGGTATTTTTTATTTACATTAGTCACTGAAATATAATATTGTTAAGTACTCTGTATTATTATCATAGAAACAGTTCAAATGCTTCTATTGACAAATGTACATATTTTTATATTTTTTAGTAAGAGTTAAATTAATATAATATTTATTGCATAACTCATAGTCATACAGAACAGGGAATTTCTTTGAAGTGTTATATTCGTATTTCTTTATAAGAAAAATGCAGCAGTATTTTAGAATAAAATACTTAAAAATTTGCACAAAAATTATATGTGAAAAGTACCTACTATGATATTGATAATGTATAATATAATGTATGATGATACATACTACTGATTACTGAAGCATATAACATATTTATGTATTTTATAAATTGTTTTTTTTTTTTAAATAAACTAGTTTGTTTTAAAAAGAACTTTCCCATCACTAGTAATGTAATATAGTTTTAAATTAAAATAATTTACTTGTCCTATAACTTGCTGTAAAGTCAATGTAGCGTTATTGAATTGATATGTTTTTTTTTGGCAGTTCATAGCACTTTGCATATTGTTCTTTATCTCTTCTTTTGATGTAAGCTACACACGAAACAAATTTTTGGTTTAAAATTGTTGGCATCAATGTCTCATATTAACATAAATATTATTTAACCCATCTATTGGTATCATAGTAAGTGCAATGTTACTTGTTATTATTTTTTTAAATTGAATTTATATTTTAAATGTCTTTTCAAATATGATACTTAACAAAATTGGAATGATACTGTAAAATATGCTTGGCTTATAATATATATATCAAGTGACCACCACTAGTCACATGGCAGTCAATGTGTTAAAAAAGACTGAATAAATACATTCAAATATAGTCGATTTAAAAATTGTTTTTTTTTTTTTTAACATTGGTAACATGTTTATTGGGTGTGTATGTAGAGGGTGTGTTTAAAATTAGTATGCCTGGGTTAAAACATGGGTATTTCTGAGGAGCAATGATTTAACATCAAGAATTCAAATAGATACCTTGGTGAGAGCTAGCAAATATGATATTTGAACACAGCACACATTCGTGACTATGGTCAACTAAACTTCAATAATATATTTTATTAATTGACAAATAACATTTATTTACCTGTTCCATAAATTGATTGAAGCTTGTGTTGGTAGTCGAAAATATAGGATTTTCGTTTTGATAACTTCTTCCATCATCCTAAAAATTAATTAAATAATTGTTTTTGGTGTATACATTTTAATAGATCAATAAGTATATACTATGATGACATACAGGGTTAGAATTAAAATCAATAAAATCTGATTTTGTTTCACTACCCGAAAAAGAACTTGATACAGTATCCAAAAATGTTTCAACTAGGAAAAAAATAAAACATATATATTTAATGTAGTTTTAATAATAACAGTATAAGTCTAATAGTTGTTAATTGTTATATTTATAATATTGTTTTATGAATTAATGGCAGAATTTTAAAATTGACCTATTGTGAAAAAAGTACAYAGAACTTATATCTTACTTGTATAATCTGAAGTACAATAAATTGTTGCATCAGAACAAGTGACATCATCACAGTATATTTCTTCTTTTTTTAATGGTGTATATTCATGTTGAGGACTAGCATATACTTTAATCATAATAATACATTATTAATGATTACAAAGAAACAGTTAAGGTCAAGTATATTCAAATGAATCACTTACTTTGTAGCCAAATTTGTCTTAAATCTCTTAATGTTGCTTGTGGTTTTTTTCTGATAAAAGGATCACTGTCCCAACAATCTGTCATTATGTGATATATGTCATYTGTACAACAATCTGGTTTTGGCATTCTTATATTTTTTTCAAATTTCTAGAAAATAAAAATATATTTGAAAAATTAATTTGTTGTTTGGAWGTAAACCATCAATAAATACTCACTTTTTTAAACAACTCAACATTTTGAACTTCAGGCAATATAATACCATAATTAAATAACTCCCACAATGTTGAACTAAAAGCCCAAATATCAGCTTGAGGAGATTTTCGAGCAAGTTCTATAGAGTTATAAAATTCTATTGGAATCCAATATAAACTAAAAACAAAAAAAAATTATAACTTAAACGTGAACAAGCAAAATATTTTAAATATWGTTTTCATAGATGTTATAGTGATGAATTTGATGTTTATACCTAATTAGATAAATAACATGTATTTTAATTAGTTTTAAAAATATTAATACAAACACATTAAGAGGATGTGATACCCATATATGTTGTCTCTGTCTTACAAGTACATAACATAGCAACAATTGTTCCGCGARGGAAAGAATCAAGAAGTCTAACAAACAACCAAATTTTCATCATAAAAAAAGAAGAATTTTAACTGTGTCAGTGTTTTTATTTTTTCAATAAGACCAATGTATCAAAAGTTATTGAAGTTGAAAAACTTAAAAATATTAGATTTTTAAAAGTATTATAACTTTTATTTTTATTAAAGATATCAAACAAATAAAAACAATACAACACAGAAAATATTATCTTCTATATTGTGTCAACAGTTTTTGCGATGTTACGCACTTGTAAGACGGAAACACACGGGTATCACATACTCTAAAAAATTATTGAATAAATATGCTGTGAATACTAACTCATGGCTAGTATAACATTTATGAATGCCTGGATCTGTAAGTTTAACAATGAAGGAATTTTTTGTATGTTCAGCTACCACAAATTTATGACATCGAATTTTTCCATGAACTAAACATGCAGTTTCCTAAAATCACATACTAAATTAGTAATAAAAATACCTAAATCCAACAAAAAGTATATACATATATATATGTGTGTGTGTGTATTATTGAGAYACCTATAAACATTTTAAKAAAAAATAAGATGTATTCACTCATAGAAATCGCATTGAAAAACCTGTATTAGATATTTATAAAATAAAGGAAATTTACCATATCCCATAGTGCTGTAGCCATATATGTTGCAGCTTCAACTAAATTGCTAAACAATATATTGTCTTTATTGGTTCTTAGGTATGTATCAAGGGGTMCTAAAGCAAAGTATTCACTGACTAAAGCAGTAGGTGTATCAACACATAAACCAAACAGTCTTACAATAGCACTTGAAGACACYGAACTCCATCTCTTAGATAAACTTAACAAATCCTATAAAAGTTAATACACTGTTTAATACATGTTTGTTTATTTTAACAAAACTTGTTACCATTAAATGTAAATTTATATTGACATCGTCTTGAAATAATTTGACCACAACAGTAGATTCATTTCTTTTAGATTTGCACCATGTAGCTACTCGAACTTTCATAAGTGACTGCATTTTCTTTTTTGGTGAACAAATGGCTAATGAATTATAATTAAAGATAATAATAAGAAGGATTATTATTTTATTGAGACTTTAGTTCACACTTACTTTTTAACAGTTTTATAGAATCACTATTAATTAAATGAGGACCAGTGATTTTATCATCTTCATCATCATTGCCTATATTATGTTTAATACTTGTGTTTTGACATAATAACAGTTCATTCATAGCTAAAAATTAAAACATAGTAATTATAATAATATTAATAGATTGAAAATTATTAAATAGGCATTGCATTTTATAATATTTTTTGAGTATATACATATATACCTATTTTTATTATTTACCTAGTTAATCTACTTTATTTTACAATCAACATAACTTACCAATATCTGATGGAAATATACATTCAATAAAGTTTAAAGACATTTTATTGCTAGTAATAAGTCTCCAAATAGAAGGATATTCTATTTTATCATCACCAGCAAGCTTATAAAGTCCACCCTTACTTTCAATTACATACGTCATCGGCTTCATACTAAAAATTTGTTTGTATAGTTATTTAAGATATCTATTTATCACTATGCAAACATAATTTATACATAATATATGATAATTTAATGTTACCTCTGATTTACACAAACATCAATTACATAATTATCGTGATTCTTCATACTTTGTCTAAGAATAAAACTTCCATGTTTCTTTGRCATTTTTTTTTTGAAGATAGAGGTAGATTTCATTATGCTATTAAATAAAACAGTATTTTAGGTATTAGTTGAAATTTGATATATTTTTTACTGTTAAAATAATAATTTTTCAAAATGATTAAAATAAATAWATTATTAGAAAAACTTTAAACTTGATTTAAATAATATTTTAATCCACTCTAACATTGTTCAACTTAACTAGAAGACATTTATTTTTAATAGTTTAGTTTTGTGAGTTAACTAAATTATAACCTGGWCAGTTTATCTTCACACTTGTTGAATTTAAAAAAAAAATTGGTCCAAAAGCTATTTCTTTTAGTAAAATAATATAGTTTTCTAACCACTATTTATTAAAAATTAGAACATTTTCTGAGTCCTTAGATAAACTGTATGGGTTATAACAATGATATAATAGTTAATATATTTAAGGTACAATGAATGTAACAAATAATTGCTCTTTTAATAATATATTATTTAGAAGGAAAAATATGATTTTCTTAGATAAYATAAACACATAAAAACAGGTACCTGATAGGTCCATGAGAACGAATCGATTTAAGTTTGCTTAAAGATGGAGTATTAGTAGATGCGCACAAATCAAAATTCCAATTAACCATTAAACGATAATAGCCATTCAGTAACGTTATGAATGAAAACATTGTACTTGTACTTAAGAATTTCAAATGAATAGGTATTCCAGTTTTTCTAGATATTTCAACAGTGCCATCATCAGTAGTAGATAGAAAACACAAGTCTTCAATAGCTGCTAAATGTACCCACTGAAACAAGTGTATGTTAATAAATTTATCTAATTAAACACTAATAACTTAACATACTTCTTTTCTGTTTTCAGTACACATTCTTACACCGGGCATTTCTGAATGAAATGGATTTACTCTAAATGCAACATTTACAGAGCTGCCATTTTCACTGTATAAAGCCTTATATTCTTCTTCTAAATAATCTGGTGCAATAGAGTTGAATTGTTCTAAATAACTTTCTTTGATAACTGGTACATAAAGATTGCCAATGGTATTGTTATTTATAAGTATTTTTAAAGTTTCCTGCACAGGCTTTTTCAAAAAAAACATGTGTTGCTTAACAACTTCTTGTGGCATGAACTGTTTATAATTTTGTTCGACAATTTCTCTGGATTTGTCCTCTTCTAGTATAGACCTATACATGTCAGCAACACCCATTCCAATGAGTTCTCGTTTGCATGTGTCATAGCACAACCCAGCGACTTTACTCTTCAATAAATCAGATTTAACTTGATAAAAATAGAAATTATATGCATAACAATCAATCGACTTCAGTCGTTTGACATCGGGCATTTTATATCTCAATTTATACTCATAAACGTGATGTTCGTTTTTGGCATATAATATGAATAGAGAAGGACTCARCCACAAATTGTCATCAGTGAAACTCAACACTCTCAGTCCAAATAAGTGTCTGGCCACAGGTCCAATGTTCAACAGTTTCGAGGTCTCGATAATTACATCTTCCACGGTCGTGTTGATGGTGACAGGTATCTCGTGAGGAGTCGCTTGGACAGCTACATGCACTTTGATGGAAATSGACGAATCCATAGTTTAGTCGATTGTACTGTTTCCGAGCGGATGGAAACTACGAATATTCAAAAACAAATAACAATATTTGTCAATGAAACACRGAAACGCGCGCGATTCTCAGAGGATAAAAGATTTCATTATTATTTATCTGCACGAATAGAAMAAATAAGACGGTGAAGTTACTTTTTTAGTGGGGCACACAATAAGTATTTCCAAGAAAATCGCGACAAATAATCGGAAACTGTAGGCACTCATTATAAATTATAATAGTCATGTAATCGCAATCAGCACATATCATTATTATTTATTACTTTTTTATATTATAGTGAGCAGTGAGCACTTAATATAATATATGGTTACTATTACATTTATTATTATTATTATTATTAATCAACTATTACTCAGTAACCCAGCCGTGAGCTGATACGGTATTGCCGTGGTAGAATAATAATAATAGTATGTCGATACGTTGATAAGTAGCGTTCGATATTCTCTGGAAGATTAGATTATCGCAATAACGCAGCATCGGCTCGCATATCGGTGCTCGGTGCCGCCGGTTGTGACTGCAACAGTGCAACAGTGCAACAACACTGACTGTTGACTGTATCGTGAATTCGTGAATCGTGATGCGCATGACTGMAATTTTATACTACATGTGTTGCTGTGTTGCATCACGACGCGTAGCCTTGCTAGTGACTATAGTGAGCGAGTGAGCCGTAAGGTGGTTTCAGGCTGTCACTTGTCAAAGTGTCAGCATTTCATCCGTTCCAGCATAATATATTATATTAATATAAGTACTTATATTATCTATGTGTTCCAGTCTTTCAGCCATACCTTATATTATAATAATTATAAATATTAATCCAAACATATTATTTAATAAGAAAAAGAAAGCCCACAGTCCTAGGTTAAAGAAATAGTAGTAGTATGTGACATGACGTGTCGTCCACGGATTAATGTTTTAGCACTGAATAGGTTTTCGTATTTTTTACAATTCTGTGATTTCGTGCTGTGTGTAGAACATTTTTTTTTTTATTGTGAGGCCCAGATATTTTCTCAACTTACCAGTTATCAACACTTATCCTACAAAATCATTTGACCACCACTGGCACTACTTGATACTACTTATAGAAGTAACTGAATATGTTCGAATAGTTTAAATTAGTCCACTTCACTATCATTATAGATTTATATAGCTAGTAGAGTAGGCAATACAATAGGTAATCATTTTTCGTTACGTTTTAATATGCCGTTGCACTCAATCGCTTTAGTTCAGACTCCAGATATTGCATAAAACTATAAAAGACCTAAACATAATAAACATGTCATTATTATCATACTGCTAAAATTATTAAGCCGTATAAATGTATAATGTGTTGAATTTGGACTAAATAGTAAATAGGTCATAGGTTAGTTATTATATTATATGTAAAAGAAAATATTAAATACAAATCCTGGTATTTTATTTTAAAATTTTGATTTGTTATATATTAAAACTTATAACTTGTTAACTCAAAAATTAATTAGTATAATCAGTCAGGACTCGGAACTTATAACGGTTMAAATCATTTGAACTTGTACCCATAGTTAAAAAAAACATATATTTCAATGATATTTGCTGTACATTAATTTATCTATTAATAAAAGCTTTAATACCCGTGCTCGTAATTTTTAATTTTATAAAAAGATGTTGATTCACATATAAAATTTTTCTTTTTGATGTAAATCCGATGTAAAAGTAAATGTTTATATTAGCATTTTGTATACACCAAACATTTTTCTTGACTTATTATGTTGAATTATTAACTATAGTCAGTTTCTAATTCTATATATAAGCATCTTATCTTATAGTTGTTAAAATGGACTATACCTACTTCATTCAATTTAATTATTTGAATAGTCCTATAGTCCAATATAGCTACAATATAATATTTTATATGTATAATATAATAAGTTCTTTAGAAGTTAACATTACATAGTTACAGTCAAAAATAATTATAAATAGCTGGGATTTATAAACAATAAGTGAGTTTAACATGGGTCGTGGACCCATTAAATAGATAAGTGTTGATGATAGTGAAAATGCTATAATATTCAGACCATCTGTGGGAACACTACGTAGAACCACCATAAAAAAATATCTCAGAAATGTATTCTAAAAATTATTACATATAAAAGGATATTGGTTTGAATCATTCATGGAATATATTATAATAGTCAAATGGTTGAAATACAAAATATAATATAAAATATAATATAATTATAATATAATATAAATATAATATACAAAATATAATATGGACAATAATCAACTAATCGGTATTTCTACTGATGATTATTACAATATCATGACTATAATAGTCAATAGACCACAAAAACTTTTAATGATTTCCTAAACTCTAAATAAATATTTTACCATCTATTTCCCATATAATTAAACTTCCATATCATATTTTATATCAAATGTATAAATAATAAAATATCAATGTTTTTTTTTCTTTAATTGTAGTTAGACAAATTAAATAGCTTATTAAATTAGGTGTTTAAAACAAAAATTATTAATACTATTATTATATTAAATAATTAATTACATTTAGTTTATAAATAAAACACAAATAGATCTATTTTAAAATGTCGTTTACTCGACAATTGTCCACCATACTTAAGACTTATAAATTAAAAACATAAGAAAACAATACATTTTATTTTTATTTTATATAAATTTGTTACTTCTATCATTAAAATTATAAGACCTGAATCAGCAGACTCATAAAACATAAAATAATGACACTAAAATGTGTATGATTAGTATATTAAATTATAATACTTACATTAAAATGTTTAAATATTTAATATTCATTTTAAGGTTATTATTTTTGATACACCTACCTGAGTTTCTCTGAGTATAGCACAAAATATAAAACAATCAGAAAATGATACACTGTTTTTTATTAACTCTTGTTTAATATTTAATTTAAGATGAAAGATGATTTTGAGCTTAGCTATTGTATCTCTTAAGAAAAAAAATGGAGTTATTAATAAGCTCACATTTTCTCTAACATTATATAATTTATTGATTTGGGATGATTGAAGTAGCTCAATTTGTGCCATTTAAAATTAAACTTTTTTAGTTATTTAAGGATATCTAAATATTGAATTCTGATTTAGAAAGGACGTTTTACCCGCATGTGCTTTCTCTGTCTTGCAGACGTACCTACAATATAAACTAAACACTTTTCCGCAGTCTGAGTAGCACTTGTTCAATTTTGGTTCTAGAGTAAAAATACCTATTACGAAATTAAATTCTGATAACAATTTCGAGAGCAAAACGTTGCATTTTTTCGATGACTCCCCGTTGTATCGTTTAGAAATAACGAAAATTTCAACATTTTTAAATGACCTTTAACTTATCAAAATTTGTATGTTTTTTGTTTTTTAAAGGCACCGTCTTGTACTCGGTTAACTGTTGGAGCCTAGGAGGCTCTTTAATCTCAAATTCAGTATACATGAATATAAGCGTAACTTCATATTGCCTTGTAAATGTAGTTAATTATAAAAAGGCGGGTAAGTTGTGGATGTCGCACGTGATATATTTTTTTGCTCAAAAACATGCTTTACAGGAAAAACTTCTACGCCTCATCGTAGAGTGATCTGTTTCGATATTTTATTTTTTTGTTGGATAAAGATACACTTCTTACACGGCGCATTGCAGTGRCTGAGGTAGGAAGGTGGGCTAACAGGCTGAAACTCCCCCGTCCATTGACTATATTATTTATTATTATTTGTTTTTAATGAAATTTATTTTTCGAAAGATTTTCGGGAAAAGGAACAGGGGAAGACCTAGAACGAGCTGGCTGCAAAAATTAAGGGGTGGTTCCAATACAATACCGAGGAACTACTCAGTGCGGCCGAGGACAAATAGCTATTATAGCCATGATGATTTACAACCTTCGATAGAAGAGGAACACAAAGCAGAAGAATATTTACCCATAATTTAATATAGTATCTTAAATCGTGTGTTTACCTTAATTATTATTATAACCATTGTCTAAATATATATTATAATCTATAACTAAGAAAATATCTACTTTATTTTTCTAACCTTATCTTGAGACAACTGAGTGATTTTTATTTTCAACCTCCCCTCCATCCATTGAAAAATACTATGTACGCCACTGATACATTGGACTTGAACTTTCAAAATTCTATTTCTAAACCATATAATACGATTTGATTTGTCCAATTTATATTTTTTACCATGAACTTTTTCTCTGCGCAGTTTGACACAACAATTTACAATTATCAATTAAATACTAACAATAAATAATATATGATATAGGGAATATATGACATGGATATTAAAGAATGGATAGGCCATGGCTATATTAATAAAATAGAGGGAATTGTGCCGGAATGGGGAAGAGAGAAAGGCTGTTTTTTATCATTGCTTCTCATTCTGGCAGAGGTCTTATCATAAATTATGTACAATAATTAAATATATACATATTTGTGTTAAGACCTCTATAACATCAAAATATTTTCAGGTTCGTTCCCGTATGATAAGCATAAGTGGCTTATCCATTCTTGCAGAATATCTATGATATACGTATATTTTAAAAATGTTTAAATACCTATTAATAAATAATAAAGTAAAAGCAATATTATCCGTCTTGACTTAAAATTAATCAAAAATTATGTTTCAGGTACAAATTTATAAGCATTTTAAATTTTTATACCTAACTCTTAACTCTTAGCGGGTCAAAATGTATGAACACATAATTCTTAACGTGCGCGCGATAATGACTTTGGAAACTATACATACATAATACATATTTTTAGATGATTTACTGTTATTTGGTGGACCGGTGAAAGTTAGTTTGCGGGCTGTAGTTTAGAGACCCCTAGCTGATATAGGTAATAGTGAATTGGTATAAACGATAATGTTTATCGTAATATAATCAATTAACAAATAATAAATATTAATTTTATTGTATTGTATCGATTTTATATTTTATCATATAAGAATAAAAAACGTCACCYTCGCCAATTATTTAGGTATAAATAACTTGTGGAACCATGTAAACATAACTAAAACCTAGTGCCTAATGATCATAATACAAAAGCTTTTAATTTATTCTTTTGAATAAAACAATGTAATTCACGATATAATTGAMGAGTTTGGTAAATATTATAATATACATAATACAACTTATGATCCGTGCCTTTTTTTCATAAGACCTGGACCAACTAAGTAATTAATTATGAATATGTTCCTATAGACGTCAGACGACCACAACCGATGGGGGGGGGCGGCCATTTGTAGTGTTATTTGGACATAATTTTATTTTTATGTGATAATGAGAAATTATTTCTAACATGMGCAGAMAATTTTATTAGTAAAATGATAGAAATCCTAAAACTTGATGGACCAATAACTCGTTTATCCACGGCGTCAACTACAGATTATAACAACTTAGAACATTAAACAACAAGGTTCAATTTATTTTTTAAGAATTATAAAATAAAAGTTTAGTMCAATAATAATTATATTATTATGACTAGGAAAGTAATTACCATCGCTCATAACGAAGTCGAAGGTATTTCACAATTACTGCGCACTTGGAAATAAAAAGGTACCAAATTCAATGAAATGATTACGACTCACAAGTCACGAGTAACCTTGTTATACTATATAAGAACAATTAAAAATTATTTTAAATTATATTCCAAAATATAATGAAATATTGGAAAAATTTAAATCGATAATTTATAAATTATAAAAAACAATACAAGTTTTATAATATTGTAATTTAAAAATAGACAGCACGACGTGTAATATTGTTTAACGGTGGATAATGCAATATTAACAAATATTTCGTTTTCTTCGTTACATTTCATGACTGCACGTCAAAAAATCGGCATCATATTATACGGTCAGAAAACGCGAATGACGATTTTGCATGTAATAGGTATGACGTAAGAAAAGCTATAAAAATTAAATTATATTTAAAATGTACCTAATTAAAAATCAGAAAAAGTTAAAACGACACAACGATAAAGAAATAAGAAAATTTTAAAAACAATATAATATWTTTAATTAAAAATAGGAAACTCTTATATCGTTAAACCATCACATTGAAAATAAAATCGAACAATTTCATTTCGATTTCTAAACCGGATTTTTATTATTATAATTATAGTGTTGAATATGGTAAATAAACAGCGCAGTTTTGAAAGGMTTTTAAAAAATAAAAACGATTTACRGAAATGACGTTTGTTTGRATTTTATGCGGTACACCATGCGAAATGCCGTTTTATGCATTTAATCCCGAAAATGTATTAAAAGGTGTAGTAACTGCCGTTCCAATATTTATATGCACATTTCTTGCGTACATGTGTTTCAGAAATTGGATTATCCCGTGCGATGAATGCTCTGCTGGTTTGAGCYGAGCGATGGAAATCCACGCCACGTTGCACCTTGAAGAACGTCTTTTCCCGCGGGCGTTCGAGTACGACGAGTGGTCCCTCGTAACGTGATCGGAGCATAGGTCAGACCGCGTAGATCCGGACAAAAACACATAACTGAACCGGCTCTGCAGGTGATTAGATTGCGCACGAATGTAGTGCGTCGAGTACCACGGTTCGTACCTGGAGTGTACCGGAGCTTTCTCGTGTGCAGGAGTCTCACAACACTGAGGTACCAGCTCGGTCGGTCGTGGCTCGGGTTGGCCGGGTTCAAAGTACTCGCCTATGTGAGCTTGGTGCCTGAAATATCAAATGGATCGGAGTTTGTTCGATGTCCGCTTTGACAGTATTGCGCAATAACACGAGTAGTGCCTATATATATATATATATATATATATATATATATGTATATATATATATACGATAAACAGCACGGCTGACCTGCAGCACTGCGGCGATGATTCGTGCGAGCGCGGCGTGAAAAAGCGTTCTTCCATCCCGTTGGACTGAGGGTGATGCGAATGTGCCGAGTGCCGAAGGTGATCAAAAGTTATTCGAACATAATATCCAACTCGAACTGTCGGCCTTGGTCGGTGGTGATGACGTTAGGCATGCCGAAACGTTCGTTGTTAAAAGCTGCGGCGCGACTGCATAAGTCGACATATTCTCGATCGACCACGCCACTGCAGATCAGCACGTGAATTGGTCGACGACGGTTATAATAGGTGCTATTGCATCCGCTGGACGGCGGTAACGGCCCAATCAAGTCAATAAGGCGAATGTGACCGAAGCGTCACTCGGTGTGATKATGCAGGACGTCGTGTGTTTGTGTACTCTGTAGCGTTGACTCGGTTGCAGGCTCGGGTCAATCGCGCGATTTCTCGATTCGATCCATGTCCATTTTGCAGCAATAGCGCAATTTGATTAGACGAAGTATTTGGGTAACATTTAATAAAAGTATATTAGTGAGACCCAATAGTGGTTTTCATGTGGATCTAGGATAAAAAAGCCACCGACAAAAAAGTCACGGACAAAAAATCCACGGATAAAAAAGTCATGGATAAAAAGGTAGGGGATAAAAAATGCATTAGATAAAAAARCCACTGATAAAAAAGCAATGGATAAAAAAGACACCGATTTATTTTAAAATTATTTAAAAAAGTTAAAATTTAAAATTATAGGTAATATAAAAATAAAAAAASTATTAAAATAATCGTATTGTGTRAGCAATAGCTGTTAAATACTCATCCATTATGTCCGTAGAGTTAAGCCWTCATTACATATTTTGTATAATTTTTTTTGCATGTTTTCATAAGTTTTTTYGTGTCTTAAGTGGGCATTCTAGCTTTAGTTGCTGTTTCTATTTTAGATACATTTTCCGTAAATATTTCAACAGGATTTACCATACTAAAAGAAGTGACTTGATCCTTCATTTTCTGTATACATTTAGTAACATTTATTACTTCTGTATCGGGTAGATGATTATGGGGATTTTTTTCTACAAGATTATTGTGTTGCAATTCGGTATACAATATCCCCGTACACTTAAGAAAACTCGCTTTCATATACAACGCCATGTTATTTTATTTTTT